GTAGCAATACTTCAATGACAAATTCTTGGGAAAAATTATATATTATTGAGGAACGTGTCATCTGACCATAACTGTGCTTTCACAAGATCAGCAACTGTGAAGCGCCTATGTCTCTCCATGACGTTCCAACTTTTTAAAGTTTTTGTTTAGATTGCACGACTCGCTTTTGTTATATTTCCTGCTTCCTCCAGCATTCTCAGAGTTTATTCAGGAGTTTTCCCGAGTAAAACATAATTGTATCGTTAACTGCTGCTCCGTGACGTTCTACAACGTCATCTTTTTTGTCGTTTTCAATGAGGACTACCTATCTTATGAAATTGATTTCTTCTGAACAAAGCAAAGTATTAAGCCATAATTTGGAAAATGAATCGATGTAACGGTTCTTAATTTAAACGTCTAGGATTTTTTTTCGGTTTTGCTCCATTTTACAGAGAATATGACTACAGACATTATTTAGTGTATTGTTTGTAAATTACTAAATTTTGACCTGCTCCGCGGTCTGATTTTTGCAGTTTTTAATTCTGGATAAGTTTGAAATTAATCACGATATTTAATAAATTTTCAATACACATCATTTGAATTTATCGTTAAAACATTTCTACCAAGTTTGAATATTATAAGACGTCAAGTGATAAAGTTATGACAGAAGTTCACGAACTTTCTGAACAACCCTCGTATGTATTCAATCAACATAATCATGTACTTCATTGTACATAATTTTTAAGATAATTATAAACAAAGTGTGTTTGTGAAACACTGATGCCCCCGTATGGCAACTTAAAGTGAAAGTTAAACTTTCTCAAATGCAAATCAAGTATGTTGCTACCCAAAATAAGGTCTTGTCTCGAGGAATATACATGTCCTGTGACATATGAAAGCCTTAACAGCAACCACTGAATAGATATGGAAAAGGTATTTTTTCAAAGTAAGTAAAATATCAAGGTCAAAATAGATGGTGCCCAAGGAAAGGCCTTCTCATAAGAAATACACGTGAAATATGAAAGCCCTAGCACCAACTGTTCAAAAGTTATGGCCAAGGTTAAAATTTTTCAAAAGTTGTTCAAACTCCGAGGTCAAGGTCAATGGGTTAAAATTGTTGATATCTAAAGGAAAGTCTTCTCACAAGAAATACACATGTGAAGTATGAAAGCCCTAGCACCAACTGTTCAAAGTTATGGCCAAGATTAAAATTTTCCAAAAGAAGGTTAAACTCCAAGGTCAAGGAGTCAAAGTTGTTGGTATCAAAGGAAGGTCTTGTCACAAGGATTACACATTTGAAGCATGAAAGCTCTAGGTCCAACTCTTCAAACGTAATGGCCAAGGTTAAAGTTTTTTTTTTTACAAAAGTAGGTCAAACTCCAAGGTCAAAGTTAATGGTATTCCAAGGAAGTTCTTGTCACAAGGATTACACATGTGAAGTATGAAAGCTATAACATCAATTGTTCAAAAGTAATGACCAAGGTTAAGGTCGGTTTTAGTTTTGCAAAACTGGGTCAAACTCTTGTCACAAATAATACACAAGTGAAATACGAAAGTCATAGTCTCAACCAATCAAAAGTTATGGGCAATGATAAAGTTTTTGTGGATAAACAGACATGCAGACGGATGGACAGGGCAAAAACTATATACCCCCCGAATCTTTGATTACGGGGGCATAAAAAATGCTCTTCAGTGTATCGATCTTTTTTTGCTCCAGGATCGAAAGATATTTCTTAATAATAATTTTTTTCTGTTGCTTCATTTTAAATTCAACTCTCCCCCTTTCATTGATGGTGCAATTTTAAGATTTTATGCCCCAGAAATCGAAGATTCGGGGGCATATAGTTTTTGCCCTGTCCGTCCGTCTGTCTGTTTGTCCACAAAAACTTTAACCTTGCCCATAACTTTTGATTGGTTGAAGCTATGGCTTTCAGATTTCACATGTGTATTCCTTGTGACAAAACCTTTCTTTGGGTACCATCATATTTGACCTTATGACCTTGGAGCTTGACCCACTTTTGCAAACTTTTCTGAGACTTTAACCCTGGCCATAACTTCTGAACAGTTGGTGCTTGGGGTTTCAAACTTCACATGTGTATTCTTTGTGACAAAACCTTTCTTTGGATACCAACAACTTTGACCCTGACCTTGGAGTTTGACCTACTTTTGAAAAACTTTAACCTTGGCCATAACTTTTGATCAGTTGGTGCTTGGGGTTTCAAACTTCACATGTGTATTCCTTGTGACAAGACCTTTCTCTGGATATCAACCTGTTTGACCCTTTGACCTTGACCTAGGAGTTTAACCTACTTGGGAAAACTTTAACCTTGGCCATAACTTTTGAATGGTTGGAGTTCGGGCTTTCATACTTCACATATGTAATCCAGGTGACAAGACCTTCCTTTGGATACCAACAACTTTGACCTTTTGACCTTGACCTAGGAGTTTGACCTACTTTTGAAAAACTTTAACCTTGGCCATAACTTTTGAATGGTTGGTGCTAGGGCTTTCATAATTCACTTATGTAATCCTTGTGACAAGACCTTCCTTTGGATACAAACCACTTTGACCTTGAGATAGGAGTTTGACGTACTTTCGAAAAACTTGAACCTTGGTCATAACTTTTGAATGGTTGGTGCTAGGGCTTTCATACTTCACATATGTTATCCTTGTGACAAGACCTTCCTTTGGATACCAACAACTTTGACCTTGGCCTTGACGTTTTACTTACTTTTAAAAAAACTTTAACCTTCGCCATAACTTTTGAACAGTTGCAGCTAGGACTTTCAAATTTCTCAGGTATATTCCTCGAGACAAGACCTTTCTTTGGGTACCAACATTCATTATCTTTTGGCCTGCATTTTGACTTGCATTTGAGAAACTTTAACCTTCGCCATAAGAAGCCATACGGGGGCATCAGTGTTTCACAAACACATCTTGTTCAACCTACTTTTATGTGCAAAAATCCATTGAATAATTCTCACAATAAATATTTCAATTTTCAAATAAAATATGTAGTGCATACTCATAAAATGTTTGGCTTTCCCTTCTTGTGTCTGTCAAACCTATTTTTTTGTCCGAATCATACTTACCACTGGGGTAGGTCGAGAATTATCAAGCCCTGGAAGTTCAAACGTAAGTTACGAAATTCCAGTTTAGAATTACCCGTGTATGTCTGCATATTAAAACCATACCGGGATAGCTGGAACATAGTATCATCACCAAACTTGTCAGCCAAATAATCTTTAAAAGTTTGTATGCATGTAACATATTTATAACAACAGTGGCAACTTTCCCCAAACATTATCCGCATCGAATCACCATTAAAAACTATTAGGATTTTAAGTACTACATACCATAGAAACATATTTGACTTCATTAGGATCTCCAAGTCACTTTCGTAACAATACCGTTTGTTTCATCTGAAAACTCAATTATAAACTTATTGAAATGCCACTCTTTCTTATCTGTCTTGGACACCTGTTCCTTTTGCTGTAATTTGCTTTACATCAATTTTTGTTTTTGATAGAAGCAGACAAGTTGGAAGGACATCAATAAATATAGAAAGTATGCAAGTTGAATTGATCATCTACATGTGTACCTGATCAATACATAAGGGCTCACGGTAGGTTTGACCGGTCAACAGAGGTTGCTTTCTCCTCATAGGCACTTGATCTTACCTGAAATTTCTGAACGTCCGTGTTTAATGCCAGGCTCACAGTTTACTACTGCTTGTAAATTTATATCGAGATCGATCACTATTCCGTTATCTTTACTTTTCCATTTCATTATTCTTCTGTCAATGATCATTCTAATTATATTTTTGGTATAAAACCACTTAAAGATATATTAACTGATTCAAGATACACTTCAATATGTAGTGCATATTCATAACATGTTTGGCTTTCCCTTCTTGTTTATGTCAAGCAAATTTTTAGTACGAATCATACTTACCACTGGGTAAGGTCGAAAATTATCAAACCCTGGAAGTTCCACTTGTGGGACAGCTGGTATGCCTAAACAAAGTGTACTAAAATTTCAAGCATCTGCGGTGAGTAGTTGCTGAGAAGGCAGCGAAGAAAATGTGGTGTGGACAGACGCACAGATATACAGGAAGTTGACATTGGATTCATATAAAAAATGAATCCCACTATGTGACATGCCTAAAAAAAGAGTGTGCTAAAATTTCAAGCATCAGCAATCTAGTTGCTGAGAAAACTACAACAGACATTTGGTACAGACAGAACCACGGATAAACGGGAAGTTGAACTCGGATTTGTACAAACACAAATCCCACCATATGGCATGCTTAAACAAAGAGTGTGCTAAAATTTCAAGCATCTGCGATGAGTAGTTGCTGAGAAAATTGCAACGAAAATTTGTTACGGACAGAGAGACAGTAACCCACCCACCCACCCCCACTTTCCCTTCGGAGCGGGGGTATAAAAATACTTTTGGGAGAAACCTTTGTACTTAAATACCAGAATAATAGAGAAGAAACAAAGGTGGTTGAAGTGGTTAATAAGCAGCAATATTTTAATTATCGAAAATCATTATGTATATTTATCATGGGACTGTGTTAGGATATTATATAATTATGTAGTTGAGTGAAAGATAAAAATTGTCGCACTGCTAAACATGCTGTCATTTTTTGCCTAAAAACAAGATGAAATATTTGTACATAAAGTACATGCAACCTAATCAATGCAAGTGTCTCTTTGTAAAATACTGAATTCTGTATCCCATATTTAGTAGATGTCAATCGAGGAAAACCCAAGCCCTAACTAGTTTACCAGTATTGCGATATTAACGACAATCAAGCCACAAATTGCTTTTGTTGCACCTATTAGGTTATGATGAGAAACAGTCATAAATTTCGAATTTATCATGAACACTATGACGAAGAGGATCCTCGCCTCCCACTAAATCTATCAACGACCGATCGAAACTTAATCACCGTGCACATTGTCTTTCCCTCCTGTTAATTACCCACCAACAACACGGGTAAAAAAGGGGACGGGTTTGAGATGCGCGCGTTCTTATAAAAACCAATCGTCTTGAACCTATGCTGATTACGTTTGACTCCATCACAATATCCGATTGGCAAGAGAGCCTGCAACGCAAAGAGACGACAATTATTTTATATTTCTCTGAGAAGTAGACAACCTATATTGTATTTAACGGTCAGGACATCATAACAACGACATAATTTTCTTCTTGTTGAACGGTCATCGAAAGAAAATCGAAAGAGGTGCATATATTACAGATTTTAGTCTTTTATGTCCATTCAAAGGCTTCTTTGTGATAGTTAGGATTTTACGTGTACTTAATCAACTGCTGTACTAGTTGGGGGCCTCTTTCCCGAGCTTTCGAGAGGGTTTTGTTTTTATTGGAAGAAGAAACTCAAAAGAAAGAGGGTGATGGAACTAAACAAAAACTGTTACCTTATGTCAGTGGCTGTGATTTTTATTTCTTTCATTGTAATACAAGGTAAGTTAAAGATATAATTTTATAAGGTATATGCATAGGAAAAAAAATTATTTGCAAGAATTTCCATACAAAAGATTGAAAGGTGCCTCGAATTACTCAACTTTTAATTTCATTTTATTTTATTATTATTTTGTACAAATTTGCACGTGTTTTAGATCGTATACTCATAAGCACATGCACCTGAAATACATGTACAAGTTTTTATACTAGTTTCTGATCCCTGTGGGTTTTTTTAACAGAACAAGAACATACTCAAGTGATTTATTTTTCTATTTCCATGGACTGGAATTTCCTGAAATTTAGGTTTTAGTGCCGTTTATGATTGCAGTATAGTTTATCTATATAAAATACATGTATATAAAAAGCTGGTAATTGTATTTAATGGGTATCTCGTAAGGACATGTACCTGTATTGAATGTAGGTTTTAGTGTCAGATTCTGATTACAATGTAGTTTATATTAAAAGACTGCACGAAAAAAGGCGATAATTGTATTTTTAGTCGGGTATTCCTTGTCTAGATAACGCTAAATTATTGGTCCTTCGATGCACATATCTCTTCACTGATACTGAAAATTACGAGAAAACGACTGCATGTAACGCATATCAGATAGCCTGTTAGCAGAATAAGTAGGTTCAGTGGACTAAACGGATCAAGGTGACAACAGATCAAATGTGATCCGAGGAAAAACAGTATGGTTCGATTCAGTAAATATGAGATATCGACTCGTCAGTAGTTTGCAAATATCAACACAGGGCAATGGGAATTCGTTGTACATTGCAGAAATTTCTTAGCACATGGCTGCATTAATATCTAATTATAATCAGGAAAATATTGTCCTCTACAGAATTTTAGACTTTGCCATATACAAATTTGAATTGAACAATTCTAAATTTTTGTAGAGGAAAATATTCATTGTATTTGATATCAATTAATAATCATACATACTTTTTTTGTAAAATGATACAATTCGTTGTCTAATTGAATTTTGTGAAGTGAATCCTTTATATTAAATAGATAAAAAGTTATAAACAGTTCGGGGAAAACGAATGTCTTACAATTTTAGTGCAGAGAAAGTCAGCCTTAACTTCAATTTATATAAGAAAGTACTGTCTAAATTTCATTTATACTTTTATTGTACATCTTGTATTACATTGTAATTGTCTGTTAAACAGCAACAACAAAATTTCTTTTAACCTTTTCACAACTAATTATCTCTATCCCTTTTAAATAACGATTTTTCTACTGAACAACTGGTTATCGTCAGGACAAGCTCGAGTTGCCTACAAACATGTAATGAAAGTAAGCGCGTTACACTTATGAAAATATTTCCAGGAGAATGTAACATAAAATGTACAATCTCTCTCCTCTCTCTCTCTATGTATATATTCAAACTCTAAACAGTTTAAAATGAATTCAATCCTAATGCCGAATTCAATTTGTTCCCATTAATTTTATTTAACGTGATAAGAGAGGAGAACCTTCCATCCATCCATCCAATGTATAATAATTTCTTCAAAAATATATAATGTTATTTATATATGAATCCTGCAAAATGTATGATCGAAGTCATGGTTACCGTACTTTGAATTCATCAATTTCGCAAAACAAATACCAAAACGTTTATATATAATGACTGCTGCGTGCCTTCCTCCTCAAGTATTTATAATTATAATGTTTACATTTCCAATTATAGGATTGATTATGTTGTTTCACGTCTCATTGGAGATTTTTTCACTCGTATAGTAAAGGGCTTCAAATGTAGATGTACATGTAATCTCGGAGTTAGGGCCATTGAGCAGTGAGAGTTTTTTATCGTGCCAACGCCTATCGTGATCTCGGTTTTAAGGTCTGATCCGAAAAGGCCCGTGACTTTTACTTCCAGTGACGGGAACAGTCACTACCTATGTTTAAAAATCAAAATCCATCTGTGGCGCCACTCTTGTTTGAATGCTCCATTACTTTTCATGAATGAAGAATTCGAGTTTACGTTGAAAACGGTATTGAACAACTCCTTCCCGTGCCTCTACCGGGGCAAGAACTTATGTGGTCGGACACTCATCCCACTATGCAATCGATGCTATTGAGGGAGTGTGGATTATAGTAACTACATAATACTTTTGACGCCGTTCTCTCTGTATAACTACTTATACATTAAATGTAAACATCTATTTACCGTGTATCTTATGAAAAAATGTCTGTAGTTATATGTTGATAAACATAATTACAAGCATTTAAAACAGTGGATTTTCAGCAGGACAATATACTCGTAGCGCTCCATTCCTTGAAAGGCATGGAGACTCAGCCCCTTTGGGGCCTTGGTTCCATTACTTTTAAGGATCGGTGGGCCACTCGTACATAAACCCTCGTGTAGGTTTAACGCGGCGTGGGACCGGGCCTCTGATTACGAAGAGAACGCCTACTAGGCTACCGTGATCGATGTACAAAGAGGAATTAAAATTTTACAAAATGTTCGTGAACTTACATGATGAAGTGCTATATCGCTTTATGGAATAATGCAGTCGAAAGGTGTCGTAGTTCATTTCCTTATGAATTCTAAAGAGAATACATATGTAATTACTTACACTACATTTTTGTTGATAAGCAAGAACGCTTTGTCAAGCATGTCGATCTTTTAATGGAACGGGGTATTAAAAAAGATCCCCATCGACAAAACCTACCTTGGGTTGGAAAAAAAAAGTTATTTAAGGAATAAATTTGATAGCTACCCAATTTATACGGTATAAACTGGGTAGAGGCTGTTTACGCTTTATAAACCGCGAAGCGGATTATAAAAAAAAAAAAAAAAAAGCGTAAACTGTTCCAACCCAGTTTATACTGTATAAATTGAGTAGATTTAAATTCATTCCTCATAGATTTAATCTTCATTCATTTAATGTAAGAAAAAAAGATGATTGCTCTTAAAAATTGATTTTAAATTGTAGAAAATGTAAATGTAACATGATGCAGATCGATATGTGTTTAACACAAGTCATTGTGACGGTGGCAACCCAATTTATACGATATAAAGTAAATTTTTTATCCAATCAAATACCGCGTTATAACCAGAATTAGATGATTAATAAATATAAATAGCTCTAAACCCATGTCATGTTTTTTATAAATGTTTTTTCCCCTTGCCGCGAAATATTCTGAGACTGACTAAAGAAGGTGTAGACTTCAGGGAGTTAACTAATCAAACCTCATGGGTTATAATGCATTGCTTACTCCCATACATAATAATTTCGATACAATTATACTACAAATAAAAAAAGTACATGAAAATTAGGAGTCTCAAAAACAAAATGTATAAATTCTTCATAAACCAGTTGTAAAAAATCAAAACAGTATACTTAAATAAGTCTATTAACTTGACCTTTCTCCACATACATTTAGCTAATTGTAGTACATGTATTTAGTTGTTGTTTTTTTTTTCGATTTATATCGATAGGAAACTTAAATCTTCATTCCCTTGTAGCTTATACAAGTGATACATAATTTTTATTTGTGAAAATAGTTAACTAAAGATAAATGGACTAAAACGAAGTTATAAAAAACGAGAAACACAGGGTGTAAATCCAAATTGACAGTATTCGATCCCAGCATACAACAGCTTCTGGTCATTTCCTAATACAATATTGTCATGTTTCTGTGAAATAACTGATTTTTATTTACAAAAAAGTTCAGTGGGTAAATTGGGGAGATCGTCTACCACATTGTTATAACTTCTGCTAGTACTCACACAATAATAATAATAACAACTAGAAACTCATTACTAGTAATGAGAAGGTCTTCCGTTATACGACTTCCTGTTTGCATGAACATGTCTTTTCCAACGTCGGTATTAGCCTAAAACTTATGTAGAAACCAAATAACTTAAAATATACTTTTTTGCTTCGTTTCCTCTCACGACCGGAAGTAATGACGACACACGATTTTTACACCAAGCAAATGAACTGATGACTGACTATAAGTCCTGAAAGTTTTAGAGTTCAGTCTTTTACTGTTGCCGAACAATTGTGAGAACAAATTCTAATTTTGAGGACAAGAAAACACACGACCGGAAGTGAACTGAATAAAAATCTCTGAATTTTCTCTTGACTTTTGCAGTATCTACAGCATATGTAAAAAAAAAAAAAAAAAAAAAAAAAAAAAAAAAAACATTTCAATTACTTATCTATAAGTGATATTTATGAGAAAGCTAAACCACGAAATAACGTAGTTTATCTTTTAAAACCGGAAGTTTAAAGTTTTTTTCCGGTGGAATTTAACATATTTTAAAACAGCGAAAGGGAAGCAATAAAGTGATGAAAATTTTAATTTTAAAAAGAAAAGTTGAAATTTTCGATTTCTTCGATCACTTCCTGTGATGACCGGAAATGACGGCTGACGCTTTTAACCCTATGTGTTTTGCCTTCTCACCAAGTTTTATTACTCCTACAAGTTTGGTGTTTTACTTTCATGCCGTTTCCGAGATCTCGCTGAAATAACTTTTCATTTTGTGGACAAGAAAACACGCGACCGGAAGTGAATTTTATTAAGATATTTCATGTCAATCTAGACAACTGCAGTCTCAATAACATATATAAAAATCATTTAAAGAACTCTATCTATAAGCGATATGTTGGGGGAAATTCAAAACCCCTATTATGTAGTTTTTCTCTTAAAACCGAAAGTTGTCGTTTTTTGTTTCCGGTGGAACCAAGACATCTCGTAACTGTGAAAAAGATACAATTATATGATGCAAGTCTTATTTCAAAAGAGAAAATTTGAAATTTTCGATTTCTTTGATCACTTCCTGTGACGACCGGAAGTGACGACTGACGCTCTTAAGCCAAATTGTTTTGTCTACTTCTCAAGGTTTAATACTCTTATCAGTTTGGTGTCTAAATCTCTTACCGTTTCTGAGATCTCACTCGGACAAGTTCTCATTTTGCGGACATTTAAACGCGCGACCGGAAGTGAATTTTACAAAGATATTTGACGTTACTCTAGACATTTG